CCTCTTTTTAAACCTTCGCGGCAAAGCCTTAAGTTGATCTCAAGACGTTTTCTCCTCGTCCCCTGCAAATGTGACTGTCCCCTGAGCCGTTAGCTATGACGTACTTCCCTTCACGGCAAAATCTTAAGTTGATCTCATGACTTTCACGGCAAAGACAACGTCTTACAAGACGTTTTCTGTTCGTCCAATTGCAGGTGTGACTGCCCCTGAGCCGTCATGCCCCATGATGCACGTGCACCGTCTGGCCTCGTCCCTGCTCTGCGTGTTCACCGGGGCGTCCTTCCTGCTCACCTCGGTGCTCATCCTCACCACCTCCCGCCCGTGTGGGGACACCCGCCCCCGACCGGACGTCCAGTACTTCAGGTCCGTATATTATATAAAAGATAACCAATACAGTGTTCAAATAGGAAAATACATTAAAATACATTGTCATTAAAGAATGTTTCGATCTTAGAGACCACATGTAAGAGAATAGTTAGACCATAACCAATACAGTGTTCAAATAGGAAAATACATTAAAGAATGTTTCGATCTTAGAGACACAGCATACATATACTCTGTACGTAAGATGACGTTATCCACACATGTATTTAGCTTTGTTAGATCTTTAGTTGTAGAAGACCATACAAAAGTCCCTGTACTTCCTTGTTGTGTCAATAAGGAATCACTATAAACACTAGCCTCTACCAGGCTTCGGGAGGCGGCTGGAGAGAGTAGAATTGGCCAAATAGAAAGATAGCATGCAAGAGGAGTTGGTCCACTAGAGAGTACAGTTTGTCGCACCCATGTGTTGCAAAATGTACCCTCCCTGGCCGGCTAACTCCCCTTGTATACTATTCCCTCTTCAGGTGGGTCCGGCAAATCTACTTCTTCAGTGGACCAATTCCCCCGGCAGGTTATCTGTGTATTTGACCAATTCTTACTCTTTCCAGTCGCTTCTGAAGTCTGGTAGGGGCTAAGTAATAACCTGGGGAGCCGCGGGGCTAGACTGGAAGCCAGACTGTTTCCAGGGCCTACACAAGCCAGCTCCTTGGCTCTGGGGTCTATACAGACCAGACCCTCGGCTCCTGGGCTAGTCTGGGTGCCAGGCTATTTGCAGGGTCTACACAGGCCAGCTCTTTAGCTCCAGGGCCAGAATGCCCTCAAGGAAATTGTACCCCCTCCCGACTTAGACCCTGAGAAAAGCACTGGATCAAACGTATGTCTTTATCAGTAGGTACGTCTAGAAGCTTAGGTTTAAAAACGTCTGGTTGATGTGTTTTTTTTTTTTTTGCTCCAGGGAAATCGTCACAGAACTGAAATCGGAGGTCGTGCGACTGAAGGATGCTTTAGATGAGCGCCACCTGGCGCCGCCTATTGTTGCTGCACCTGACGCCCGGAAGCGCAGAACTTTGTCCCAGGCGGGAAAACAAAACCAGAACCCAGCCAATCAGAAGCCCCCACCTAGAGTCATAGTGCAGCAATTGGCTGACTCAGCAGCCAATAGGAGAGCAGGGAAGTCAAACTCACCAATCAAAAGAAACCCTCCAGCCAATAGAAATCCATCTCAGCAAAATCGACAGTTTTCCCCCAAGCAACCAGGTCAAGTTAGGAGAAATCCGGGAAATATTCCCAAACCGGGAAAACCTATCAGTAGAAAACCAAATCCTAACCTAAGGGGACCAGGCGACGTGGCGGCCAAAAGGAAACCTCCAAACCATGTTCCACAGAACGCGAGGAAACAACAAAACAATGGGAAGACTGAGTTTTCGGGCTTGTCAAAAGGAAGGACTAGGACAGTCGGTAGAAAACCTCCTAAACCCAACCAATCAAATGGCAGAAAACAGGTAACCAATGACAAGCCTGCTGGCCTTAGCCAATTAAACGCCAGCAGCCAGAGGACCAATGAAAAGCCGGCTGACCCGGTGCACGTGATCATCTTCACCAATAGGAGGTCGGGCTCCTCGTTCCTGGGTGAACTGTTTAACCAGAACCCGGATGTGTTTTACCTGTTTGAGCCTCTGAAGGCGCTGGAGCAGAGAGTCTCGTACCAGAACCTGCAGGTTAGCATTACATAAATCCTGGATTATTGCCGAGTGTGGTGAACCATGCTGAATAACGAAAATATTCTTGTTATTTAGTTTGGCTATGTTTGTAAATATTAATGATATTTTGTGTGTTCCCTAAAACTACGTAATTCAGCCTTTTGTACAATACATTGTATTACTAGGCTGAAATGTTGTTTTAGTTTCATGTCAATTTGCAAATAAAGCATTTATATATTGGAGTGAGTTATAGAGGCCACACAAGCACTGACTTAATTATATGGATGATATCCGTCACTTTTCGTCCGTTATCGGAAAGCAGATGCTAGTGTCGTTGAATGTTTTTTTCAAGCATAATATTTTGCCATTTTGTATCAGTACATCTAGGCAGCCAAATTTTTTTCAAGACAGTGATGGTCAATAACTGATGATCAATAACTGATGATCGATACTGATGATCAATAAGAAATGATCAATGACTTATGATAATCGATAACTTATGACCAATAACTAAGTGATGGTCGATAACCGATGATCGATAACCAATTACCAACAACTGATGATCGATAACTGATGATCAATAACTATTGACCGACGCCACAGGTGCAGGCCGCCCCCACCCTGGGGGACATGATGACGTGTAACTTCACGGGCCTGGGGTACTTCCTCAACTTCACCAGCAGAGAGAGACTGCACAGGACCTCCAGTAAGGCGCTCAGCTCCCCGCCCATGTGCCCCAAGTCTATCAGGTAAAACTCACTCACTCACTCACTCACTCACTCACTCACTCACTCACTCACTCACTCACTCACTCACTCACTCACTCACTCACTCACTCACTCACTCACTCACTCAGAACCTCCAGCAAGGCACTCAGCTCTCCGCCCATGTGTCCCAAGTCTATCAGGTAACACAAATATAACCTGACCTTTCCATACAAGTTCATAGCCAAAATAGCGTCACATATCTTTACTTAGTTATATCAACTCCAAGAAGAACCCAGTCTGTAACTTTTGTATATTTTTGCGGGATTTACTGGCTATTTCAACGTTCTGGAGCTCAAGATTTCTTACAATATTATTTTAGCATAGTATAAGAAACAGGAGGAGCGAGTAGAAACAGATAGAAACCCCTGGTCCCGGGCCGGGGTTTGAACCCACGACCAAACCCGGGCACCAGTCCACATGCCGACGCTCTAACGATTCGGCTAAAAGGTCGGCTCAGCTGGCATTGCCTATAACCCCCCCCCCCCCCCC